GTGTCACCGGACAAACCGCTTCTATTATACAAACTGCTTCCAGTGTTTATATTGTTACTTGGTAAGCAATAACGTCTACTCTATTTCTGTAGTTTTACTTTTTCTTAGCCAGCAGATTATAAAAACTTCTCTTCGAAACTTCTCTGTAAATTTGTGAATCTGATTTGAGATGATTGAGACGGAGGAGAGCAAAGAGATCAACATGAATGATCCTACAACTAACAAAGATGTGTTTATATAAGAAAAGGAAAAGACTTTTGATTTTGGACACATCTGTGAATAGACAGACTTATCTCTTGGCGAAGTAATTTATTAACTAAAAACGTCTATTGTCAACAGATTTGTTTGTCCCTTCACAAATTAGTTTGTTAAACTGCTAACTTCCCTTCAATTTGAAAAGTTCCGAAATAATTAACATATATCAATTATTTTTTATTTATCTTCCAACCAAAATCTCCCATCTGATCTATCCCTAATGCGGGACAAGTTAGGGGGTATGGTGGACTTGGATATTTAGTGGTTGTTTAGCAAAAATTTATGCTCTGAACAGTGCACATGAATAGTAAAAGAGATTAAGAATATAGTTTAGAAGAGGGAAAAAATAGAAAAAAAAAAAAATACAAGGCATCACATTTAGATTTTATTAAGTATCACAGTTAAAAGGATAAATTTTTAAATATCACATCTAAAATTAGTTACTTTACACAATTAAAATTGCATAACACAATTTAAAGAAAAAGTTCTTGCAGTAAATTTTTAAATATTCTTAGGGTCCGTTTGATGTAGTTGGAGTTTTTAATAGAAATACTATTGGAGGGAATTTGCTGTAGAAGTATTGTTTTTGAGAAGTTGAAAGTGTTCAGTAAAATTTTTTATTGAAGAACTTTTAAAGTGTAAAAGCGTTTGGTAAATTTTTTTATAAAAGATCTTTTAATTTAATGTAATGATAAAATGACTAAAATAAACATTTTATACTTTAATCACCACCCTCATTCTATTTTTTTTATATTTTTATATAACTTTAATTTTATTATTAATTTAAGGTTGATGAATAAAAATTAATTATTCATATTTTAAAATATAAATGCTAGGTAAATG